GCAAAGTACTAAATGGCCTGAATCTTGGCTCGATGTCGCTCGAGCCAAGATGCAAACTAAAATGTTGTGCTCGGGCATTAACTTGGTCGCTCAAGCCAACTGCAAATGTCTACAAACATATTAAATGTATGATATGTGTGCTCGGAGTGACAACTTGTTTGCTCGAGCGCTGTGGTCAAATTTTGGGTTTTCCAAAACTCATTTTGAACTTCAACACATGTATTCAAAGTGTGAAAGCTTGCATGATATGCTCTATCTTCAAATATACAACCATAAGCATGGATACAAAACCAACTGGTAAATTCAAAGTCCAAAACTTCATGTTTTCACCATGCATGACCAATTGCTTCAAATTCTTTCCCAAAACTCTCAAGACATGGAATTTAACTTCAAAACCTTATGAATCATGGATGCATGGATGAAATAACTTCAATTCAAGCTTAGATGACATGAATCATGCTTAAAATGATGAAGCTAACCAAATTATGCATGCATGTATGAATTAGCACCAAATTCTTCATTCTTAGCTCATTTCGTATTTAATCATATGATCTTCTTGGATTCATGTCTTTGATGACTTAATCTCAAAAATTAAGGTTCAAAAGCTTACCTAAGGTCTTTAATGACACTTGTATTAGCCAATTCTTGAGTCCTCTACTCAATTTTCCAACCTTCAAGCCAAACTTCATGATCGACCATCACTACAAGAAAAAACACTTTTGGCGACCACCTATTTTTTTTTGGTCGCAAATAGTCCACTTTCTGCGACTAAAATTTAACTTTTGGCGACCACATTTTTTTTGGTCGCGGAAATCACCTTTTGGCGACCAAAAAAAAAGTTGTCGCGGAAAGTATACTATTGGCGACCAAAGACTTTTTGGTCGCGGAAGATCACCTTTTGGCGACCAAAAAAAAAGTTGGTCACGGAAAGTATACCATTTGGCGACCCAAAAGAAAAGTTGGTCGCGAAAGTATACTATTGGCGACCAAAGGCTTTTTTTGTCGCGGAAGATTACCCTTTGGCGACCAAAAAAAAAAGTTGGTCGCGGAAAGTATGCTATTGGCGACCAAAGGCTTTTTTGGTCGCGGAAGATCACTTTGGCGACAAAAAAAAAGTTGGTCGCGGAAAGTATACTATTGGCAACCAGAGGCTTTTTTTGTCGCGGAAGATTACCCTTGGCGACCAAACAAAAAAGTTAGTCGCGGAAAGTTATGGCGGGATAAATTTAAAAAAAATGATACTACAGTAATTACATGCTATTTTTCTATTTAGACATTAAAAGTTTTATAAAATAATATATAACCCATTTTTTATGGGTTATATATATTTTTTGCTAAATATGACAAGAAGTATGTTATGTGGCCTATTTTTCTGTTTAGGCATTAAAAGTTTTATAAAATAATATATAACCCAATTTTTATGGGTTATATATTTTTTTTGTCAAATATGAAGAAGAAGTATGTTATTGGCAGAGTGGCAGAGTGGATTGGGTGCATGGTGACTCCTTGGTCAGGAGTTCAAGTCCTAGGGAGCACAAAAGAATTATTTTTTTTGGGTCAAGGCGCTGACTTTTGGCGACCAACTTATCTTTGGTCGCTAAAAGTTTACTTTTTTGTCGCCAAAAGGTGATCTTCCGCGACCAAAAAAGCCTTTGGTCGCCAATAGTATACTTTCCGCGACCAACTTTTTTTTTTGGTCGCCAAAAGGTGATTTTCCGCGACCAAAAAAATGTGGTCGCCAAAAGTTAAATTTTAGTCGCAGAAAGTGGACTATTTGCGACCAAAAAAAATAGGTGGTCGACAAAAGTGTTTTTTTTTTGTAGTGATGGTTCGATCATGAAGTTTTGGCTTGAAGGTTGGAAAATTGAGTAGAGGGACTCAAGAATTGGCTAATACAAGTGTCATTAAAGACCTTAGGTAAGCTTTTGAACCTTAATTTTTGAGATTAAGTCATCAAAGACATGAATCCAAGAAGATCATATGATTAAATACAAGAAATGAGCTAAGAATGAAGAATTTGGTGCTAATTCATACATGCATGCATAATTTTGGTTAGCTTCATCATTTTAAGCATGATTCATGTCATCTAAGCTTGAATTGAAGTTATTTCATCCATGCATCCATGATTCATAAGGTTTTGAAGTTAAATTCCATGTCTTGAGAGTTTTGGGAAAGAATTTGAAGCTAATTGGGTCATGCATGGTGAAAACATGAAGTTTTGGACTTTGAATTTACCAGTTGGTTTTGTATCCATGCTTATGGTTGTATATTTGAAGATAAGAGCATATCATGCAAGCTTTCACACTTTGAATACATGTGTTGAAGTTCAAAATGAGTTTTGGAAAACCCAAAATTTGACCACAGCGCTCGAGCAAACAAGTTGTCACTCGAGCACACATATCATACATTTAATATGTTTGTAGACATTTGCAGTTGGCTTGAGCGACCAAGTTAATGCCCGAGCGACAACATTTTAGTTTGCATCTTGGCTCGAGCGACCATCGAGCCAAGATTCAGGCCATTTAGTACTTTTGCAGACCATGTGGTCTGCTCGAGCGACCAATGTTGTACTCGAGCGAAGTGTCATGTTTCAGCGTATTTTGAAGTCATATTCTGTTCACAATTATGTTCTCATTTCTTTCTGAGCATTCTTAAGGATAAATTGTGCTTCCCAAATGAATTAATGAGTTGGAATAAAGCCTAAGAGAATTGAATAAGTTAGAGAACGGCTCATTTAAGCAATATGATTCAATATGTGTATGTGTTATGAATTATGTTGGTTCATTCGCAAAGCTGTATCAGTAACCAAATCATTATGAGTAATATCTTATCTTATTTTCTAAATGATACTAATGTGGTAAGTTTTTTGAACTTATGATTTTGTTTTACGAATGAGCCTTCATTTTGTTTGATTCGTAAAAGATTTATAAATGTGATTGACAAGCATGAAAGTACATGATGGACCTAAGGTCGTTCTATACAAACAAAATCGACCAGAGGTCATTCTATATATCTAATGAAATGAACCTAAGGCTGTTTCAATTATTTGATTTTCTATACATCTGATAAGTCTGAATATCTGTTGTGTATTGATCTAATGGTCATTTTATGGATGTAATTGAATAGACCCGAGGTTGTTATACCTGAGATCGTTATGAAAAATATGATCTGTTCTGCTCTGTATCTCTGTATATGTTGGATCTGAGGTCTTTTTGTCATATTGGACCAGAGGTCATTCTGTTTTGATGCGAAACTATTACAGGAATGATTTTATTTGAATATTAGAACTCATTCATATAATCTCTTTACTTTGATGTTATTCATTTGGCTTTGGATCACTCCATTATATATATGTATGTAGGTGAACAGCGGAATGTCCAGCTCTAGTGAACCTGTGGAGGAACACCGAGTTTTTGTGGAGTCAGCCAAGGATGCTTCACACATGAGGCTTTTGTCTTTTAATTTTCTGTTTTCTTTTATTGGTCATGTTTGACCATGTTTGTATATAAGTTATGGTTTTTGTCTGAGTATATTAAATGTATGATGTTGGATGTGTGAGATTTCTTATGTATGTATGGGTGTGAGTTATTATATATATATAATGTTTTTGTTCATGCTAATTATGCACAAGCACATTGGACAATTTTATATTTCTGCTTCCACTTCTGACCCCATATAATTAAATATGATTTGATTTCTGTCTGGAAGCAGTAGGTAATCTCATGATTATTGGCCGGCTATGATCTTAACCTCTAGGGACGGGTTTGGGTTGTGACAAAAATAGTGGTGAAACTTTTTTGCTGTCTAACGAATCAACATACAGTTGTAATTGAAATTTTGCTATTTGTACTCAACAAATATGCTTGCAATTAAATGCATTCCTTTTCATCAAATCTATCATCCATTCATACAAGATTTCTACTTTGCCTATTATGTCAAAACATTTTAAGCCATATCCAACAATAACTTTTGCCATGGGAGCAGCATGAGAGTGAAGCTCTTGGTAAAACATTAGGAAATATCCTTGGATGTAGGCTAAGTTAGCAGAACCATATTAAAATTGGTGTTTTCTCATGATGATGGTTTCTGGCTCTAAATATTTATTTTCCCCCTTTGTTTACTATTTTTGTGGTAAATACACCAACAAAACCTTTATGTTTTGCAGAGGCATTTGGTTGCTTAAAATTAAAAACAAAAAATACGATAGTTGTATGGAAGAAAGGAAAAGAAAAGAGATTACCAAACTTACTTGTGAACAAGAAGAAACATGCCACTCAAAATGAATGTTCCCACAACAGCTATCCACCCGACGTTCATCAAACTACAATTATCAATGACAAACATTTGTTGATCATAGATCAAAATTGAAGATTAGCAACCGAAAAATAAATTTTTTTGAGAATCATATGCTACTTACACATATACAAGACACTCCAATCCGATAATGGAAAATACTGCAATTAGCAATCAACAAGAAGTTTAAAAAATGAAAAACTAAACAACACTTTCGACATATATATATATATATATATAAATGTAGACTTACAAAATCCAAGAAATGCCAAAATGAGCATAGCAACAGCGACATAGAATAAGATTTGTATCCTACATTGCATGGGTCAAAACAAAACATTAATGAGTTCAAAATTCAATAATGTTACTGTCATAAGGACAATATGTAAAACCTAGTAATTACATAGGATCAAGGAAATTTCGCAAGTCTTTTGAACTATTGGCTGTTACATTCTGTAGATTGTCCGCAATTACATTGATTTCTCTTTGTATTTCATCTATGTTAGCTTGTAAATCGGCAGGTAATAACATCTTCTAAAAACCAATATTCTTAGCTGCCAAAAGATAATTAAAGACATCTTTTAGCTTTTGAACCGTGGTATTTGCCTGGACCAAAATAAAGGTCAATACGTCTACTATGCTTGTCTTAAACTTCGCTTGACCAATGTAGAGAAAGACACTTCCGGCTCTGCACTTCCAAAACAAAAATATTAAATTCATGATGAATTGTTTAACAAACATATTATGTATTTTGTGTGTGTGTGTGAGAGAGAGAGAAAGAGAATTACATTGCAGTAATAGTGAGAAGTATGAGGAAAATAACGGAGAGAACATAGGCAATTTGAGAATAATTATAATGGTTTCGTCTGCAACAGCAACGACGCAGACATATGCATAACAAGCATAGCCCAAACAAGACGAACCAAATTATAGCAATGATGAATAAGGGAGCCGCAGAAAAAGCCACTGACTGCAAAAGAAAAAAGTATTAATTACTTGCAAGTGTGAAACTTCTTTTTAGGAAGAAAACGGAAAGTTGGCGACTAGACATAAGTTACAATTGATTAACACAAATTGTGAGGACAATGAAATAGGATTAAGAACCAAACAACCCATTTGGTATAAGCAAATTTCACGAAACATATTAATTCCTTATTCAAATTTTCACATTTCACAAACTTGATCACAGGTTATACTAGAGCAACTAGTTTAGAAATTTAAATCCACAGTGATTTAGACTACTACTGATCATAAATGATGCATATATTACATAAACAATAGATAATTGATGAAGTAACATTACAACCTCTAAAAGACACGAAATCCCCAATCCCTAGATGATGTATTACATACGAAAAAAAAAGGCTAGAGATATAGAATATCACAATCCACCAAAAGCACCATGTTATACAATAGACAATACTTTATGGAGATTATTTTCAACACACCCAAAAAAAAAAGAAAAAAAAGATGCACATAAGTAAATGATTCAGATGAGATACTAGGTACAAAAAAAAGGGCTATTATAGATAAAGAAAATCACAACCCACCAAAAGCACCATATTACACAACAGATGAGAATTGATTGAGAATATTTTCAACACATCTAAAAACAAACAAAACCAAGATTAGATTGTATAAACATGTATCATATTAAATGGGAGAATTGGCCCATGTTTGGTAACAAGAAACACCTAGACCTAGGTGATCATACATCAATGAAACTTCTTTTTTTGCTTATCCAAAAAAAAAAAAGAAAAAAAAAAAAGAAAAAGAAAAAAAAAAGGGTGATCATCCATTGTGTTATATATCAAAGAATTGAACATCATTACACAAATTGATAAGTTTGAAGGGACTTACATACAAGTAATTTCTACTTATGATATTCCACCCGCCTGTATAGTACTTAAACCCATCAAGAGGGTCTCTTCTATGCGTCCGATTGGCTGCCAAAATAAGAATTGTCGAATTCTTTGAAGTTTTATTTAAAAACTTTTGTGCATCCAATTCAACCACCTCATTATAATCCCTCTCATTCATCAACTCTGTAGAAAAAAATTCACAAAAGAAAAAAGAAGGAAAACCCATAAATTAAATAGAACCACAGACAATTATTTTCATAGTTCAACATTCATATATAAGGTGCATAATATATGTACACACACAAACATAATACCTGGTATTGACTGTTGGAGATTGTCAAAAGCTCCATGAGAGAAGCAAAACAAGGTTGAAAAGAAGAAGAGAAGGAAAACAACAATGGGTTTGATTTGAAACATGGTTCTCTTCCCTCTGATTCCTCTGTGGTTTTTGTGAGAGAGAGAGAGACAGAGAGAGGCAGAGAAAGAGAGAGATATTTATACTATTTTTGAGCAGCAACCGTTTGCATTTGATGTTTTGGGATGAGATTGATTGCCAGCCATTTATACCTTATTGATGTTTAGTACTTTTACTAAAGTACCCTTGGAATGGAGGTCATTGACCAATATTGTTGGCCAAATTAAACAAATCACGTGCACAATTTTTTTTTTTTTTTTTGGGTACGTTGACGCTAGTGATATTTCGTCAATAATATTTACTCTGTTAATGGTTTCCAGTTCAATAGTTTAAAGGAGTAACTGTTTAAATTGATGATTCAAGTTATAAGGTGAATAATTTGAACGACAAAGTGAATTTTTATTTTCCTTAATTGTTTGTTTAAAGGAGTACGATGATGGAATGGGAATATGAGAGTAATTTCAAGTTGTCCTAGATTTTTGTAGAACAGCGTATGTAATATTATATATTTGGAATAAATAATACCACACTCCAAGGAATAAATAATTTCCATCGGAATTATCGTTCTTCAATTGGACAACTAATATTAATCTTTCAAATCTATTCTCTATCCATTTCTAAGTAATATCAAGATTATCCCCTATTTAAATGTTTGACTTGTACGTTTTATTCTTATAGAAAATCTATAAACTCAGAAAATAAACTAGAAAATTGATCCAGAAATTCAAATCTATAATCCATAAATGGAACCGATGTCTGATCAACTTAATTTTTTGCAGGTGTGTTCTATCTCAATTTTTTTTTAAAAAAAAATAAAATAAAAAAAATGAATAGTTAAAATTATCAAAATAAACCTTACAATGGGGCAACCCCAGCTCCATCATTATGAGGCCACATCTTGCATGAACCTTGGTCTTTGATTGTAAATTTGAGCAATTTTGTGGTTCTATTTTTCTGAGTTTTTAGAACTGTTAGGGATAAAATTGATTTTTCTAAATGTTTTTTTGATCATGGCTTTACAGAAGCAAGTTTGAGGAAAGCCGTGTGCTGACGTAAAAATCGAATTTAGCAATGTTTTCTGCTTTGATATTATAATGAAATCTAATAATTACAAATATATTGATAAATATCAAATACAAAATGGTGTGTTTTTTTTACAATTGATCCATTTCTAATCAAACATATGACTTTCAAAACAAATTCAACAATATAAGACCACATTTTTTTACTATTTTTGTCATTCTTCCATCGAGATGCTCCAAATATTTCAATGCCACTAGGTTTGCGTCATACCAAGCCATGACATATTAAAATTTCATGTCCCAAATTGATTAACCTAATTCCACAATTAGGTAATAGTTCAAAATAACATAGTTGGAATATTTTAAATAAATTGAACTTAATAAAGTTAAAGAATAACTAATCAATTTAAAGGGAAGTATCAGATTAATAGATAATGAGAAAAATAATTATAAATCAATAAAAATTATTTTAGGGGGAGAGTGAGAGTAACCTATATATATATATATATATAAAAGTACATGGGCCGCCCTAAGCCCCACAATAAAACATATGGATTGGGTATAGGCAGAGGGGGTAAAGCTTGTTGGCTGGCCTGATGGACTTTTCAAGGCCCAACCAAAAAGCTCACGCTAGAGGCTCATTATTTTTTCTTTCTTCCTTTTTTTGTGCATATAAATTTTAACTATTAACTATATTTTGCCATTTTGGAACAATGGTAAAAAGTCAGCTTTTTGATTTTTTAATTTTTTTAGTCAAAAAAGTCAGTTTTTTTATCCAAAATAACCTATTTTTTTTTTTGCCCAAAAAGCCATCAAAAAAAATCAAAAAGCTAAAAAATTAACTTTTTACCAACTTTCCAAAACACTACTAAATTAAAGATGTATACCATTTAATAATATAGTCCTAATGAATGTAATTATGCATTTCAATAAACAAAGTTAAGTTTTTATTTTTCATGAATCAATATTCAATTATAATTATTTTAATGCACTTCAAAATTTTGTATTATATTTTTTAAATAATTTTTAAATTTAACAAAAAAGAAAAGGGCTCAAATTAATAGTATGTGGGCTAAGCCGAACTGAAATCCCATAAACTTATATTTTTTAACTACAAGGACAAGGTCTGAGCTTTAGAAATATCTCATGGATCAAAAAAAAAAAAAAAAAAAAAAAAAAAAAAAAAAAAAATTACTCAGAATCTATAATTTAGGGCTAAGATTCATTTATAGTTCGGTCTCACAATAAAAAATAATAATCAAATCTACGCCCTAAATTTGAATTTCTAAATAATTTTTTTGATTATTATTGTTATTATTAGAGAAAATTGTTAAAAATTCCAATCTGAGGAGAGTGTAAGATATTAGGTCAAACAAATATTTTTTATTAGTGAAAGGCTCACCCTCTGTAAAATAGTTTGGTGAAAAGTTATTTTATTTGTTTTGAAGGACATATTATTTCTAATTTTATTCCTTAATTTATTTGTTGACTTTATTTTTATCTGTTTAATTTTTTTTGAATATATGTTCAGTTTTTTTTTTGATTATCTGTTTAAATTTATATATATCTATTCAAATTTATGTCTATATGTTCGAATATTTTGACTATTTTTTTAAATTTTTTTTATTATCTGTTCAAGTTTTATTATCTGTTTAATTTTTTAATCATATTTTCATTTTTTCCTTTATCTGTTCAAATATTTGATCAAATGTATTATCTGTTCAATTTTTTTAGCTTATTTGTTTAAATCTATCTGTCCAAATTTTATTATCTGTTTAATTTTATTATTTGTTAAAATACACCAAACCACTATCTGTTGCAATCTTTCTGTTTTCCTCTCTTGTTCTTTACCCCTATTTGTTGAGATTAATCCATTACACACACACACACACACACACACACAGATGTATATATATATATATATATTCAATTTTTTATTTTTATTTGTTCATTTACCACTATCTGTTGCAATCTGTTTCATCATCATCATCATCAACAACAACAATTTAACAACTACAAACTTTTCTAAAGTTCTGCTTATAAATACTCTTGGTTTCTAATTTATAGCAACAAACCATTCAGACTAAAGAACAACTCTTAATAATTTTTTTTGAAACAAATACATACAATCCATTTACAAAAGAAAAGAAAATGTTAACCCTCACCATATTGATCACTTCCTGCTGGAGTTCACAAGTTCAATTCATTCCAATTGATAGTGTTGCACAAGATGGATTGGGAAATTTCACCAATAGTCACATATGCTATCCTCGTTGCCCTTAACTTCAGTGTAGGTTGATTATTTATTATACAAGCATTGTTCAATAGTGTTGGTTCCTATTGGGCCATTGATGACCCATTACAATGTTCTAAAAAGTTGCATTGTCCACAAGTTTTGTTTTGGACAATGGCGGCCTACTCATCAAAATTTCACACAGTTTTAAACCTTCGAACTAAACTGCCTAGCAAATTACTTTTCAAATAAATTTAGCCTAGTTTGAAATAGTTAGAATCTCCTAAAAGTTTTTTATTTGAAAAAATGTTCATTGAATTTACTATACATCCTACTAGGAATGAAAGATTTAATATAATATATATATATATAGGTACTAAAATGTATAGATTTAATAATATATATATATATATATAGGTACTAAAATGTAAATAAAGACCAAATAGTAAATATAATAATATGTCTATTTACATATGTTTATAGGAATGGAAATATAAATAACTACTGAAACAGCTAGAATCTCCTAAAAGGTTTTTATTAAAAAAAATGTTCATTGAATTTACTATACATCCTATTAGGAATGCTAAATTTAATTATATATATATATATATATATAGGTACTAAAATGTAAATAAAGACCGAATAGTAAATATAATAATATATGTATTTACATATGTCTATAGGAAGGGAAATATAAATAAATACTGAAAAAGTTTGGACATGTATATTTACTATACATCTTGTTAGGGCCAGTTGATACAATAATATGTGTTATTTACATATGTATAGGTTACTGAAATGTAAATAAAGATAAAAAAGTCTGGGCAGGGCTATTTTAATGACGTGGATTTTTTTTAATGGACTATGTGTCTTGTGATTGTTATAATATTAAAGGATCGTTTGTAAAATTATTTATGACGATTGAAATAACGCTTTTAGTTTGATACACAAGTTTGAGTTGAAATTTGTATCTCTTAAAATAGAGACCTTTATTTTATGAATTTTTAAAAATAGTTTCACAATCACTACAGGAAAAATAGGATATGGTGGCGTTTTTTTAACGACGTTTTTTTGAACGTCACTTTTATTAATATTTAACGGCGTTTTATAAACGCCACCTATTCTTTAAAATAAAACTATAAGATTCATATATGAGTATAATAAACTTTGTAAAAATTGTAGATCAAAACTGTATTATTATAATAGATCAAGTACTCCATTTCAAAATGCTTCAATAAATGGAAGAAAAGTAAGACATCTCTCAGCCACTCCTACCAATCTCCTTCTCTATACCGATTTTGTTAACTAGGCATCATAACAGCTATTGTAGAACTCTCTCTATACTTTACATGATGTTTGGACAAGGACCAACATCAGCACCACAAACACAAACGATACCAAACATGGTTAGAATTTGTTTCAAATAGTTGGTCTACATCAGTTTTGGACCATTGCCATCACCAAAACCAAACAAAAAATGAAACACCCTGTAGGCACCTCAGTTTTGACCACCTTTTAGACTTGGACGCCTCTGATTGTTCATCCAATGATGATTTATATGTTTTTCGAATGCTCGATTTCCTCAGCAGCCTACAAACCTTGCACCACTTTTGGACCAAAACAACATTTTTCCAAGTTTCACCACTCAGAGGTCTGCAAGCCCACTAGTGGCCGGCTGGCTAGAAGTGAGTGTACAGCCGTCACCCTAGTAGCCGACCGGCCACTTGTTTCGGTAAAACAGATATTTTGCTCCCAGCTATGCCAGCTGTCTCCACAGGGCTTCTTGCTGAGGTTATTGTGCTTGATTTTAAGCACTTGAGGGTGAGGAATTGTTGATTTGTGA